TCTAACCTCTCTCTCTCTCTAATCTCTCTAAACTCTCTCTCTACCTCTCTAACCTTCACTGCCCTTCAGCCTCCCTCAGTCCCACTGCCACGCTGTCTCTAACCTCTCATAGTCCTCCACAAGCCACTCCGACTGGCTGTTGTCTACCAACCCTCACTGCCCTCTCCTCTCACCTCCACAGCAGTAAACTGATCTGCAAACTGGCCTGACACTGATTCAGCTCGGGTCAACAACATTCAGGAGGTATTCCAACCTGGACTCAGGGGTAGACGTTAACATAGTAAACGTACCAACCGGGGACACTCCAATTAGTGTGATATGTTACGTTTCGTATGGTGTGCATTACTTTGTTGCGAAAGTAGATAAAAAGTAGTAAGTAGTCGCAAAAATGTAATTAATTAATTACTAATAACTAATTCATTAATGAGCAAAAATGGTCCATGATGAGTTTCAAACACGCAACCTTTGGGTTGATAGATTATGTTTGTTTTTGCCTTAAGTACTCCTCTTTCTTATGTAACCGTACCAAATGTAACATATCTATGTTACGTTTGGTCAATGAGACCAGGCTGGGTATTCTGCTCTAGACAAACACTGACTCACAGGCTACTGGATATTATCATGAAGCATTACTGTATCAAAATGTCATCATAACGTTATAATGTAATGTAGTACTGCGCAGTGTTCTGACACATCTTGCGAAATAGATAGACCACTGTTGGCTGTATAGAAAATTCATGAAAAATGTGAAATATGTTTCTGCACATTCCAAGAATGTTATTCATTTTATGATATCCTTATTAAAAAAAAAAAAAAACAGCATCTTATTGAGTGAAAGGTATACAGTTCTCTGCAATGAAGTGGCATACAGCATCAGCCATAGACATTGCATCATGGTACAAGTTAGGCATCTTACATTGATACAGATTATAAAGGATTATTGGGAAATCAAATGGCATGCTGTTTCTAAGCGTTCTGGGTGTCTCTGTCCTGGGCTGGTCCCAGACAATAAATGGACGTCAGGGTATCAGTGTAGGTGGCTGAGACCTTGGATAATACCATAATATTTATTGAGTCTATGGAAAATACCATTATATTTATATTTTTATAATACACATTCCATATGACTGAATAAACTCATTATATTATTCCTTTAAAAATAATATGTTGTATAAACTATGACAAAACATTTGTTTTTGTTTTCAATCGATAAAAGGAAAACATATATTAGGCATACAGCACCAGTCAAAAGGTTGGACACACCTACTGATTCAAGGGTTTTTCTTTATTTTGACTATTTTCAACATTGTAGAATAATAGTGAAGACATCAAAACTATGAAATAACACATATGGAATCATGTAGTAACCAAAGAAAGTGTTAAACAAATCTAAATATAATTTACATTTGAGATTCTTTAAATAGCCACCCTTTGCCTTGATGACAGCTTTGCACACTTGGCATTCCCTCAACCAACTTCACCTAGAATGCTTTTCCAACAGTCTTGACGGAGTTCCCACATATGCTGAGCACTTGTTGGCTGCTTTTCCTTCACTCTGCCGTCCGACTCATCCCAAACCATCTCAATTGGGTTGAGGTCGGGGGATTGTGGAGGCCAGGTCATCTGTTGCAGCACTCCATCACTCTCCTTCTTGGTCAAATAGCCCTTACACAGCCTGGAGGTGTGTTGGGTCATTGTCCTGTTGAAAAACAAATGATAGTCCCACTAAACCCAAACCAGATGGGATGGCATATCGCTGTAGAATGCTGTGGTAGCCATGCTGGTTAAGTGTGCCTTGAATTCTAAATAAATCACAGACAGTGTCACCAGCAAAGCACCCCTACACCATAACACCTCCTCCTCCATGCGGAAATCCTCCGTTCACCCACACCACGTCTCACAAAGACACGGCGGTTGGAACTAAAAATCTCCAATTTGGACTCTAGACCAAATGACAAATTTCCACCGGTCTAATGTCCATTGCTCGTGTTTCTTGGCCCAAGCAGGTCTCTTCTTATTATTGGTGTCCTTTAGTAGTGGTTTCTTTGCAGCAATCCGACTATGAAGGCCTGATTCACACCGTCCCCTCTGAACAGTTGATGTTAAGATGTGTCTGTGACTTGAATTCAGTGAAGCATTTATTTGGGCTGCAATTTCTGAGGCTGGTAGCTCTAATGAACTTATCCTCTGCTGCAGAGGTAACTCTGGGTCTTCCATTCCTGTGGCGGTCCTCATGAGAGCCAGTTTCATCATAGCGCTTGATGTTTTTTGCGACTGCACTTGAAAAAAAATTCAAAGTTCTTGAAATGTTCCGTATTGACTGACATTCATGTCTTAAAGTAATGATGGACTGTCATTTCTCTTTGCTTATTTGAGCTGTTCTTGCCATAATATGGACTTGGTCTTTTACCAAATAGGGCTATCTTCTGTATAACCCCCTACCTTGTCACAAGACAACTGATTGGCTCAAACGCATTAAGAAGGAAAGAAATTCCACAAATGAACTTTTAAGAAGGCCCACCTGTTAATTAAAATGCATTCCAGGTGACTACCTCATGAAGCTGGTTGAGAGAATGCCAAGAGTGTGCAAACTTTTGATTTGTTTAGTACTTTTTGTGGTTACAACATGATTCCATATGTGGTATTTCATAGTTTTAATGTCTTCACTATTATTCTACAATGTAAAAAAAAAATTCAAAATAAAAGAAAAACCCTTGAATGAGTAGGCGTGTCCAAACTTTTGACTGGTAGTGTATGTAAATAACTAAATACATGACAGCTCAATGACAGCTCAATTGGTAGAGCACGGCGCTTGTAACGCCAGGGTAGTGTGTTCGATCCCCGGGACCACCCATACGTAAAAAATGTATGCGCACGTGACTGTAAGTCGCTTTGGATAAAAGCGTCTGCTAAATGCCATATTATTATTATTAACTTATTTTAACAGCTACAGTGCCTTTATGATTGAAGTATGCCCACTACAGTAGCCAAAAGGAGCTTCTGAAAACGGTTTGTGAGGTTCTGAAAATGGTTTTAAACGGTGTTTGTCTCTTTTAATGTCAGTGCATGTGTTAATGTCATTATGCATTTTTTCATTTTTACAACTGTAGTAACATTTCAAAGCTGTCTCCTCATTTACAGTTTCTATTCCTGCTACTCATAAAAGGAACCAAACCACAACAGTTTGACATCTAGTTCAGCCAATTTAAAATGGCATTGAAACACAGGCACGCACACACACACATACACACACACGCACGCACACACGCACACACACACACACACGCTATAAAAATAAGAAATGTCTGACATTTTATGAAAACTGACAGTTAGATGAGAAAACAACATAGCTATTCTTGCATGATAAAAAAATAATGCATTTGAAGTTATTCATATGAACTTCATTAAAAGTTGGGCAGCAGTTGAGTTATAGGTTCTTCTGCAAAACAAGTCGACTGACTAACTGACTCCACACACACAAGGCAGCTTGTTGGCCAGAGAAATGTTATTGGGTCTCGTTTAAAAATATGAAGAGAAGGATTCTAGTCAACTACTCTGAAGTGATCTTTTGAATAAATCAGCCTATATATTAGCATCTTGAGTTTTTGACACTGTCCACTTCCACTTTAAGCTATATAGAAGAAGAATGCTACTGAGCATAATACTACTGTGTGAAACCATGGCTGTACTCAATAGGCTATTGATCAAGCTTTTTTGCCTAAACTTTGAAGTTTAATAAATAAATACAAATCACAATAGATGCATTGTTGAAAAAGTGAGTGTATCATCATGTATTCTTATTTATTCTAAATATTATTAGAATAGATATTTAACAAGTTTGCAGCAAATGCAATAATATATTTGGGGAAGAATCGTAAATGCATGTATAAAATCATACCAAAAGGTATTCTAGAGCATCAATCAGAGCACGCAATCAACTGTCCCATGTTTCTTTCACTCACCCTCTTCAAAGTAACTCTTCTATCCAGACCGTTACCGTTCTCTCGAGTCGTCTCTTTGCTCCTCAGTGCGTTCTATATTCATGCTTTTCTAGCCTAGCTTTAGCCTACGGTCTGTCGCCGAACACAGTGGGTAGATCGGGCAATGCATCTCTGTCTCTGAAAACCTGTACCACAGTCGCTGCTGTCCCGCGGATAGAAGGGAAGTTTATGATCAGTCATGCTGGACTGGGTGGGAATGTTATGCTGCGTTCTTCTTCGCCCTCTCTCTCCCCGCACTCCTCACTCCAATCTGACATTTGAGAAACTCGTTCGTGCGCAAGACTGCAATTAGATAGATGCTTAAGTGGAAGTGCATTAATTGGCCCAGCCATTGTGTAGTTTTATTTATTGCAATTGCTCGAGTGAATTCACTGAAAGTTACACAATACAGTGACTAGATTTAGATTTGACTAGATTTAGATTTGAATAGATTTGTTATTCTAAAATCTACACACATATTCAGTAATGAATACAAATGTTAAAGTGAAAACTCACATGGGAAAACAATTTTATTCTTGAAGGACAATACATGTGTTCTATTCTATTATATCGGGCAGGTTGTACGATTTACAAAACTTTTATTTTGAATTTATTAGCTTTTATTTTGAAGTGACTGTGACGCGTTCCCCCATACCCGAAAGTTCACTCCACAACACCACCTTGTGTCCACTAATTACCACAGCCACAAAGTCTGGCTATATATCTAAAAAATTCATGAAAACTAAAATGTGCTTTTTGTTAGGCATAAGGTTAGCAGTGTGGTTAAGGTTAGATTTAAATGTAAGAAGATAAATTGTAGAAATAGGTGGGGCTTATGACTTTGTGGCTGTGGTAACTAGTAACAACCCAACTTGTGGGGGAAAGAAGAGAGAAAGAGGTTTAAAACACAAAACGTTTCATAACAAACTTTAAAATCATTTCAAACAACGTTTTAACATTTCCAAAGACAAAAATGTGAATACGACACCAGGACCTCACGTGCAGATATTCTGAGAGCAGATAGCGCCACATGGAGGCTGTTCTAAAGAATATGGACAGGACCGCGGCGCTACTCGCCTTGTCGCAGACTGGGGACAAACCCAGGACAGAGCCTTCCAATGGACTCAGCGCGAACACCTCTACACAAGGTTCAGCACAAACCCAGCCATCATAGAGATCTTGGAAAAACAACTACAGGCAACCAACGAAAGCTTACGAACAATTTTTCAAGGATACATAGATATCACGTTCTCTGACCTGTCGCAGTGTCAACACTTGCTGCTCGTGGGGTAACAAAATAAATTGAAGGATGCCACCCGATCATTGCACTGAGCTCATTGAAATCAAAATCAGCATGTAAAGTCTTGAGTGCCATTCATTTGAAACGCGGTACATCATTTCCTGGTCCTGATGCTGACGTGATGTGCATGATACGGATAGAGATGTTGGATATCCTACACTCCCTAGAGGACTGGCGGGTCCAAGGTGGACCTAGCAGAGAAGTTATTGGACTCCAGCTTACAAACCTCGGGTGGATTTGAAAACTTCTCTGGGGTCGTTGCTGCTGCTCTCCCGTCTAAGAAAAACAACAACAACAACAACAACAACAATTACTCTAGCATATGTGTTCCATGTTGCCCATTGTTCTTTTGATGGACCTCTCCCAGCGGTCTGTAAAGTTCAGGGTTGCCTACCGTGACATGTTGAAAAAGTGGAGGCTCACAGTTGGAGTATGACATGGATAAAGGAGAGTGGGTTCAAATGTATGCCACCAACGGGGTGTCTTTCAAGACACTGGCTGGCCATTATACAGCAGGTCACTACCAGGGGGCTTGTCTGTCACCGAAAGAGGGCGTTGAGAGAGAACTGACTACACCAAAGGTTGTGGATGGGGACTTTGATGTTAGAGGGCTAAGCTTATGGACTGTCCCCCCTTTCTGAGCTTCAATGACTCTTTTAGAAGTGTGACATGTCAATGGCATCACATTGTCAGTGTTGTTCCAAATACCTTTGACCTTCTTATGGTAGATACCATTGAATTAAATTAATTTGTGGGAGGATACAGTTGTTTTTTTCAGTTATTCTGATATTCATATCATTTTTATCATAATTAAAATTACTTTATTTCTTTACACTGATGTCTGCGTTTTGATTTCAAGGCTTCAATATGACTTTTACATCTCATTGTATTCTTTTGGACAAACTGAACACCCAACCTGGTCCCAGATCTGTCAGTTCACATCTAGGACATCTAGGACCAGGCTTACTGAAACCCAACCTGGTCCCAGATCTGCCAGTTCACATCCAGGACATCTAGGACCAGGGCTACTGAACACCAACTGGTCCCGATCTGCCATTGCACATCAGGACCTCTAGGACCAGGCTATGACACCCAACCTCCCAAGATCTGCCAGTTCACCCGGAACACTAGACCGGCACTGAACACCCACCTGTGTCCCAGATCTCCAGTTTTATCTAGCCAGCTACTGAAAACAACATGATGACAGAGATAGTGGGACATAACTGAGGCGAGAGAGGATGTTCGGCTCATGATCAAACCTGGTGTTGATTCTAGATTTTCTGATGTGTGACAATAAATGTATCTTATATCATAGCTTAATTCTAGGCGTCTGAGATCCCGACTAATACATTCCTTTTTAAATCTAATTACAAACACTAAACACTGTCACATTTTGTTTTGTGGGGGGGATCTAAAATCATTTTTATGTTGCTGTTTTCAGGGTGGGTCTATATTCTGGCTTTATAGAATATGAAACGTAGCTGATTCCATCATACTGAATCAGTGGAAACACAAATAATTGCGAAACTAACTAATAAAGGACATTGTCAGTGAATTTAGGAGAATGTATTTCCCCAGCTATCTGTGTTATCAGTATGGCTAGCATCATGAAAGGTTGTTGACCCGAGAGGCACTGAATAACAATTAGGCTGTCTCACTGGCCACATACAGTGGATTCCCCTCATAGCATCCCTGGCCGGGTTTATAGCACTGAACAAGACTACGCTTGCCATCATGGGGCGTTTCATATTGGCTTTACGTAGTTTATTACACATTTGGTCATTTCGATTCTTGTTTGTTTCTCTGGGTATATTTGAAATGGCATCAAAAGTAAAAAAAAATAAAAAAAAGTGTTTTTATTGTCACATCTACCAGATAGGTGCAGTGAAATGTGTTGTTTTACAGGGTCAGCCATAGTAGTATGATAGGTGCAGTGTAATGTGTTGTTTTACAGGGTCAGCCATAGTAGCATGATAGGTCCAGTGTAATGTGTTGTTTTACAGGGTCAGCCATAGTAGTATGATAGGTCCAGTGTAATGTGTTGTTTTACAGGGTCAGCCATGATAGGTGCAGGTAATGTGTGTTTACAGGGTCAGCATGATGTGCAGTGTTGTTTTACAGGGTCAGCCATATAGATGATAGGTGCAGTGTAATGTGTTGTTTACAGGTCACCTAGTAGATAGGTGCAGTGTAATGTGTTGTCTACAGGCAGCATAGTAGTATGATAGGTCCAGTGTAATGTGTTGTTTTACAGGGTCAACCATAGTAGTATGATAGGTGCAGTGTAATGTGTTGTTCTACAGGGTCACCATAGTAGTATGATAGGTCAGTGTAATGTGTTGTTTACAGGGTCACCATAGTAGTATGATAGGTCAGTGTAATGTGTTGTTTACAGGGTCAGCCATAGTAGTATGATAGGTCCAGTGTAATGTGTTGTTTTACAGGGTCAGCCATAGTAGTATGATAGGTGCAGTGTAATGTGTTGTTTTACAGGGTCAGCCATGATAGTCAGTTGTATGTTTACGGTCAGCCTGATAGGCAGTGTAATGTGTTGTTTTACAGGGTCAGCCATATAGGTATGAAGTGGTCCCCAGTGTAATGTGTTGTTTTACAGGGTCAGCCATAGTAGTATGATAGGTGCAGTGTAATGTGTTGTTTTACAGGGTCAGCCATTAGTGCAGGTAGTTTGTTTTAAGGTCAGCATGTAGTGCATGTAATGTGTTGTTTTACAGGGTCAGCCATGATAGGTGCAGTGTAAGTGTTGTTTTACAGGGTCAGCCATGATAGGTGCAGTGTAATGTGTTGTTTTACAGGGTCAGCCATATAGTAGAGGTGCAGTGTAATGTGTTGTTTTACAGGGTCAGCCATAGTAGTATGATAGGTGCAGTGTAATGTGTTGTTTTACAGGGTCAGCCATGATAGGTGCAGTGTAATGTGTTGTTTTACAGGGTCAGCCATGATAGGTGCAGTGTAATGTGTTGTTTTACAGGGTCAGCCATGATAGGTGCAGTGTAATGTGTTGTTTTACAGGGTCAGCCATGATAGGTGCAGTGTAATGTGTTGTTTTACAGGGTCAGCCATAGTAGTATGATAGGTGCAGTGTAATGTGTTGTTTTACAGGGTCAGCCATAGTAGTATGATAGGTGCAGTGTAATGTGTTGTTTTTACAGGGTCAGCCATGATAGGTTGCAGTGTAATGTGTTGTTTTACAGGGTCAGCCATGATAGGTGCAGTGTAATGTGTTGTTTTACAGGGTCAGCCATGATAGGTGCAGGTTGTAATGGTGTTGTTTTACAGGGTCAGCCAATGATAGGTGCAGTGTAATGTGTTGTTTTACAGGGTCAGCCTATGATATAGGTGCAGTGTAATGTGTTGTTTTACAGGGTCAGCCATGATAGGTGCAGTGTAATGTGTTGTTTTACAGGGTCAGCCATGATAGGTGCAGTGTAATGTGTTGTTTTACAGGGTCAGCCATGATAGGTGCAGTGTAATGTGTTGTTTTACAGGGTCAGCCATGATAGGTGCAGTGTAATGTGTTGTTTTACAGGGTCAGCCATGATAGGTGCAGTGTAATGTGTTGTTTTACAGGGTCAGCCATGATAGGTGCAGTGTAATGTGTTGTTTACAGGGTCAGCCATGATAGGTGCAGTGTAATGTGTTGTTTTACAGGGTCAGCCATGATAGGTGCAGTAGTTTGTGTTACAGGTGCATATAGTGCAGTGTAATTGTTGTTTACAGGGTCAGCCATGATAGGTGCAGTGTAATGTGTTGTTTTACAGGGTCAGCCATGATAGGTGCAGTGTAATGTGTTGTTTTACAGGGTCAGCCATGATAGGTGCAGTGTGTAATGTGTTGTTTTACAGGGTCAGCCATGATAGGTGCAGTGTAATGTGTTGTTTTACAGGGTCAGCCATGTAGTGCAGGTAAGGTTGTTTACAGGTCGCATGATATGTCAGATGTGTTGTTGTTTTACAGGGTCAGCCATGATAGGTGCAGTGTAATGTGTTGTTTTACAGGGTCAGCCATGATAGGTGCAGTGTAATCCATGATAGGTGCAGTGTAATGTGTTGTTTTACAGGGTCAGCCATGATAGGTGCAGTGTAATGTGTTGTTTTACAGGGTCAGCCATGATAGGTGCAGTGTAATGTGTTGTTTTACAGGGTCAGCCATGATAGGTGCAGTGTAATGTGTTGTTTTACAGGGTCAGCCATGATAGGTGCAGTGTAATGTGTTGTTTTACAGGGTCAGCATGTAGGTGCAGTGTACTCCATGCTAGGTGCAGTTGTAATGTGTTGTTGTACAGGTCAGCCATGATAGGTGCAGTTGTTTTGTAATGTGTTGTTTTACAGGGTCAGGCCATGATAGGTGCAGTTGTAATGTGTGTTTTACAGGGTCAGCCATGATAGGTGCAGTTGTAATGTGTTTGTTTTACAGGGTCAGCCATGATAGGTGCAGTGTAATGTGTTGTTTTACAGGGTCAGCCATGATAGGTGCAGTGTAATGTGTTGTTTTACAGGGTCAGCCATAGCTGCTGTCTTATCTTCACAGTTTTTTGTCTCCATGGAAACCATGTACTGTATATCAGTCTGTTTCTTTTCACGAGACACAGAGAAAGACGTAAACAGCAAGAGCCCTGGAAGTAGCCTACTTTCAATTATGCAGAAAATACAGTTGAAGTCGGAAGTTTACATGCACCTTAGCGTGTTTCACAATTCCAGACATTTAATCCTAGTAAAAATTCCCTGTCTTAGGTCAGTTAGTATCACCACTTTGTTTTAAGAATGTGAAATGTCAGAATAATAGTAGAGAGAGAATGATTTACTTCAGATTTTATTTCTTTCATCACATTCCCAGTGGGTCAGAAGTGTACATACACTCAATTAGTATTTGGTACCATTGCCTTTAAATTGTTTAACTTGGGTCAAACATTTCTGGTAGCCTTCCACAAGCTTCCCACAATAAGTTGGGTGAATTTTGGCCCATTCCTCCTGACAGAGCTGGTGTAACTGAGTCAGGTTTGTAGGCCTCCTTGCTCGCACACGCTTTTTCAGTTCTGCCCACAAATGTTCTATAGGATTGAGGTCAGGGCTTTGTGATGGCCACTCCAATACCTTGACTTTGTTGTCCTTAAGCCATTTTGCAACAACTTTGGAAGAATGCTTGGGGTCATTGTCCATTTGGTAGACCCATTTGCGACCAAGCTTTAACTTCCTGACTGATGTCTTGAGAGCTTCAATATATCCACATAATTTTCCTTCCTCATGATGCCATCTATTTTGTGAAGTGCATCAGTCCCTCCTGCAGCAAAGCACCCGCACAGCATGATGCTGTCACCCCCGTGCTTCACGGTTGGGATGGTGTTCTTCGGCTTGCAAGCATTCCCCTATTTCCTCCAAAACAATGGTCATTATGGCCAAACAGTTATATTTTTGTTTCATCAGACCAGAGGACATTTCTCCAAAAAGTAAGATCTTTGTCCCCATGTGCAGTTGCAAACCGTAGTCTGGCTTTTTTATGGCGGTTTTGGAGCAGTGGCTTCTTCTTTGCTGAGCGGACTTTCAGGTTATGTCGATATAGGACTCATTTACTGTGGATATACATTGGGGAGAACAAGTATTTGATACACTAACCGATTTTGCAG